AAAAGCATGTACTTGTATGCCATGGGGTCACACAGCCAGCACAGCTCAGACTTACCCTGTCCTGGCAGCGCGGCGGGAGCAGAGCAGAGCTCTGGAGGAGCAACAATCTTGCTGACTGCATAAAAGATGAGGCTGGGCAGCCACGAGATCTCATCAAGCTTTGACCTTCACTTGGGCTGGCTGCATTGTCTTCTGTTCCATTTAGCTGTACTCTTAAAGAGCAGAGAGGCAGACAGCATTTCTATGGATCCAATTATACCCTCGACCAGAAACAGACCAAGGAAGGCAATCCGCAAATATCCTCCACCAGGGTTCCTATAAAAATCATTTTATTTACTTCAAAGATTGCGTTTGGCTTTCCTGTCTCATTTGCACTTGTTTCGTAGCCTCTCTCTCATCTTTTTTTTCTCTCCTATTAGCCAGCAGACACGGATGAATCACATATTATTTGTGATAACAACCCAGCCCCAAAGAAGCCAAAACGGGGGAGCGCAGTGCGAGCCTGAAGAGCGGTTCAGCGATCCCTCTCCATCCTGCCACTGCAGGGGGTTTGAAGATGTCGATAACCTCATATTTACCCCGGCTCCTCGACTCCAATGGCAGGGCAATGAGGGAATGTGTCAGGTTGCCACAGTGCTCCACAGTGCCACAGTAGGGAACGGGATGCACGGAGGCCGAGATGCTGCCAGGACATGGTGTGTGTGGGAAGGGAAAGGCTGGTTCCTTGCCCACTTATGTGTCATGGTGCCTGCTTGTAGCCAGTTCCCTCTGCCTCCCTATTTGTTCAGTCCAATAGCACTCATTATTAAAAATATGACTTTTCCAATATATATAAAAAGAACACATCTGTCTATACGTGAGAAGGCACGTTTCTGAAAGACCTGAAAATTGCCAAATGGCAATTTACACAGCTCTTAGATGGAGCCTGATGTTTTAACTGAGGATAAGAGTATTGGGGGAAACAGGGAAGAAAAAGAAAGGACAAGCACCAAGAGCTCTTCTCTCTGCATGCACACCTTGTGTTGTGCAGTGTCAGCATTAGCAGAATCCCCTTTAATCCCCTCGGTGAGATAACCAGAACAAATCATAGAATTACAGAAGGGTTTGGGTTGGAAAGGACCTCAAAGATCATCTCATTCCACCCCCTGCCATGGGTAGGGACACCTTCCATTACCCCAGGTTGCTCCAAGCCCTGTCCAACCTGGCTGCCACATGCAGGAATGGGGCAGCCACAGCTTTTCTGGGTAACCTGTGCCAGGGCCTCACCACCCTCACAAGCACGTAGCACATGCTGGTCCATCTAGTGGTTTGTCCTAGGGAAAAGTGTAACCCCTGAAATTCTGTTTTTCACACATTAGTAAGTTTCAACATACATCTTTTCCTCCAGTGCACATGTAGGAGGTGGGAAGGCAAATTTCCTGAAGTTTACACATCAGCCCTTTAAAATAAATCCTTCACTGACCATTGCCACTGAAGAGGCTACTTAAAAAATGTCTTATCGAGCAAATGTTTCCTTAAAGGCAATTATGCTGTTATAAATCAAAATTCCAGATGCTAAAGCAGTGCCAATTAGCAGTATTAAAAAAACAGATGCCTTGTTCTGAGAGAGCACCACTGCCTGGTGTTTGAAAGGAAAAAACCTGCACAGAACATGCTGGAAGCCACTGTCCTATTGAGAAGACAGCTTTTAAATAGCTGTTCCGAGATGCAAACTTAAAAAGCTGTAAAAGCAACTTATTATGAAAGTCTCAGCATAATTTTCTGTCAGGATGGAAGAAGGTTAAGCTGTCCCCTGCCTTAAGCTGCTTTCTGTTAGAAATCCAAGCAGTGAGTAGAAGAGGTATGGCACAGAGTCAGGGCCACGGAAAGAACAACTGAGACAGCACTACTCTGCAGCTGCCCCTGGCCCTCCAACCTGCACTGGAGGTGACAAAGTCTGGAGAAACAAAACAGCAAGTTCTCTTACTATTAATCTCCTTTACATGTAGAATAAATCCCTGTCAAATAAAGGCAACCTCACAGGCACAAATTCAAAGTTGTTACAGGCACCTTTTACATCCTTGACTTGCAGCTCTTCTCAGACCAGTGATCCAAAACTTCCATGAGGCACCCAAGTCACCTTTCCTGCTTCTGAGAGCTGGGCAATTCTTATTATCAGTCAAAAGGCAGAAACGTGATTCCTCCCCACCTTCTCACCCACCTATTAGATGTGTTTGATTTCAGCAATTTTGGCCTGAGCTCATCTGTGTTCTTAAGCAATCTGACTTAATTGCAGTTTGCTCTTTTGAGCAGATCACAAGTTGGCTCAATGTTTTAAAACATGGGTGATCTCAGTCCCCACCTGCATCACAACCTGCTAAGGAGTAACAGAGTGTAAATGGGTTACTCAGAGCAAAACCTTCCAAGCCAGAAGCCACGTCCCCTTGAGAAGGACAGGAGGGTGCATTCTGCTCCTGGGCATACAGGTGGTCAGGCAGACAAAGCAGCAGAATCCAGCTCCATGTGGCACAAATAGCTTCTAGCCCTGTGCTGGTTCATGCCCAAGAAAAGCATCCATGTGCTGCCTCCTGAGCCTATTTGCCAGAATCCTAAAAGCCCAGCACACCACCAGGGAAAATAAGAAACATTCTGCAAGGCCCTTGATTTGAAAGTGAGCAGGAGCTAAGAAGTATCAGAGAACTGTTAGACAAGAATTAGAGAACCATTAAACCTTTGCATAAGAGATAGGATCAGTATAAAAAAATTGTCCCCAAAAAAGGAGGCCTATAAAGTAAACAATACCGATAATCATCAAACACTTCTGATATGCAGCTTGCAGTTGCCAGACAAAGGCTACTACAGTGCATGCATACATCTAAAGGCAAGGGCTATTACTTATACATGAAGGCAGAGAGAACAGAGAATTGCTTAGACATGAAGAAAAAGATCAGACTTTTGAAGGCTCTCAGAGTTCAGAAATCTTCCTGGAACTCTGTGGACCGTGGGCTCAGGATAAAATTCTCAGAACCTGACGTAACAGAATATTCCTGTAACAACTTCACATACAGCCCAGACCAAGGCCCTTTTCTCCCCAGGTACCACCCAGAAAACAGGTCCCTGAACTGACAGAGGGCTGTTCACGGAACACAGAATAGCTGACCTGGGAACACACCTCTGGAGATTGTCTTGTCCAACCCCCTGCTCAAAGCAGAGTAAACTAGAGCAAGATGCTTAGGACTGTGAGCCCAGTCTGCTTTGGAAAACATCTCCAAGGATGGAGACTCCACAACCTCTCCAAACAACTTGTTCTAGTGCTTTATCACAGTAAGAAAAAAGGGGCTTGTTATGTTTAACTGGGATTTCTTACAGTTTAGTTTGTGTTCAGAGGCTCTTGCCCAAAGAGCCTGGCTCCATCACCTTTATTCCCTTCTATCAGGTATTTACAACAGTGCTAAGGCTTCCCTCAGAGCTTTCCCTTCCCAAGGCTCAGCAATACCTTCTGCTTTAACTGCTACTTCAGGTGTCCTTTGAACTAAAGGAAAACACGATTCATGGTCTTTCAACAAACATCAGCTGGGAGTCCAGGTTTTGTTCTGACAAGGAAGCCTTTACAAAAGGAATATTCTTCCCAGCTAGGACAGTCAAGCACCAGAGGAGGTCGTTGAGCAAGGCTGTACAATCTGCATCCCTGGAGGTTTTCCACACCTCACTGGGGAATGCCCTGAGCACAGATGGAAGTTGTTCCAGCTTTTAAGAGACGTCCCTTCCAATCTGTATTATTCTATGACTCTGAAAAGTGACCAAGTGAGGATATCTAGTATATTCACTGCGTCCCTGGTCCTTTTCTCCATTCCAGTAAACCATGAGTTCACAGGCTGCTTTAAATATCATGTATTCTAGAAACTCTGACCAACATTAATCCTTTAATAATTTAAATAGCTTTCATTAAATCCTCGGTTGTTTCTTAATTTTACTTTTTAAATGACATGATGTAGGATTTATCCAAAACCAAAGTTGCACACACACTTGGATCTAAAGGGAGCTATGAAGTGTGCTTAAAAGGGATGAGTGTTATCTAAAGCAAAGCAAGGATGTAGACACAAAGCTGCAGAAATACTTGTGTCCAGAAATGGTACTCACGTCCATAGAGAATATCCAAAAAACTTCAGTGTTTGCTAGCTAATTCTTCTCCTGGTTTTCCTCAGGTTTTAAAGTAGGTAGATTACTAGCATTTGTCCTCAGTCTAATAATAGAAATACCTTTGTGCTTTTGGATACACTGACCAAAAACTGACACAAGCAAGAAAATCCAGGCTGTAGCTGAAAAACTCTCATGCAAACTCAGAGCCAGCCAAACTCAGGACAAAACCTGAAGAGCTAAAGAGGACTTAACACATCTGCAGAAATTTCATCAGCTTCTGAATAAACTATAAAGCCATTTCAATTTTCTATGTACTTCACTGGCATGAGGGGGAAATAACATGCCACTGCTAACCTAAAGGAGCTTCTCTTCCAGTCAAGATTGAATATGGAATGCAATCCCTGGAGGCAACTTCAAAAGTATTTATATAGGTCGCTGCCCACATTAACTCTGATGTTTCACTATCTGCAACTTTAGATCAAGGCAATGAAAAGCAGCAAGCTTGGGATCTTCTTTGATATCTCATATATCAATATATATATATAATAATCTATATATAATATATAATAATATATGATATAATATATAACACAATATATAATATATTATATAATATATAATAATATATAATATAGAATGATATATACTCTATATATCTATATAATATATCTATATAATATATATATAATAATCTTCTTTGAAATCTCATTGATAATACATGATACTTGGTAGCAAAACCCCCTTGGTCAACTGGAAATATTAACTAAATATTATTCCTTCCCTCCCAACCCCCCCAGCTTGGTTTACACACTGTGATATTTTAATCTCCTCCCATCCCACAGGACAAATCCCCCTCTGCAGGGCAGGCACAGCACACTTACTGGTACTCGGAAGGGAGAGGTGTTGGGCACCTCCATGGAGTTGCTTTTCTCAGAGGTGCTGGTCCCCGAGATGCTCCGTCTGCGAGGAGATCTCTCTGCCGGGACCTCTGAGGAAGAGAAGAAGGAGAAGAAGGTGGTGAATGGGTGCCTGGGGGTGGGGAATAGTCAGGTTTTGTGCTCTGCAGGACAGACTCCTCAGCAAAGTTTCAAGTGCATTACTAAACCGCTGAACTAACCTACCTATTTCTCTGTATCTTATTTACTTACTAAATTACAGTGGCATTTTCACTGGCAGATCCCAGGTTGTGAATCTGACTTGAGTGTAGGCAATTAAAATTAAAAATGCTGGTAAAGATAAATACCTAGACATATTTAATATTCTGTTACTGTCTGAGAGACAGTATTCAGAGAACTTTAATACATTTATTGAATTTAATTTTTTAATGTAAGCAATGCAGTAATTAACAGATAATTACAATCAAGACCCAGGCAAGCTCAATTTTAGTCCCAGCTAAATGCAATTTGACGAAGGTCAAAGTTTGGTCGTGTGTGATCCCACTACTTGCTCAAACCATGCAACCAGCAGAAGACTCATAAGTGCCTGGGTAATATGACATATATATCTCTGCAGATAAAAAAAAAAAAAATAGGTCAACTTCTCCTCATTCTGGCAGTATGACCTTACTAAGACACGACTTTGGCATCTTAAATCCATGCCGGCTGATCTGACGAGCACAAATAAAAGCTGCACTGATATGTTTTTCTAGTCTAAATACTGGAATAACAGCACATTAAAGTACACCCAGCATTACAACCCTCTCCACAGACACACATCTACTGCACATAAATGCATTTTTTATATATAGCTAGATATGCATCTGTATGCACACAGATACCTTTACTACAAAGGCTGCCCATCTCCAAGCTCAATTGCCAGACTCTAAGCAATCCAACTTCTCAAAACGCCCCCCAACGCGGGGAGTGAAGACGGCGAGCGACCTTCCTAGCGGAAAGCCCGTCGCTATCTGCCGAGTCTTAAATGGAAGGAGCGGTGCGCGACTCCGGCCGCTGACATTGTGACGACTCCCGCCGCCGTGCTGCTTCCAAAAGCCCCACGCCGCTCTAAGTTCCATCACCGGCCGCGTTGCCCTGGGGACCGGGGCTCCCTCCGCTCCCGCGAGCGCCGGGGCTGCGCTCGCCCTCCCGCGCCGGGAGCAGCGAGCGAGGCAGCGGCGCACGGGGCTGCAGCTCTTCAATCAATCGCTCCGGCTGCACATCCTCACTAGTTACTTTCAGGCTATTAACAGACGCCCAACTGCCGGCTTCCCCTCTCCGCTCCCGAAAATCTCGCTGTACATCCTGATTCACAGCGGCACAAAAATAAAAATAATAAATAAATAAATAAATAAATAAAGCAGGGTTTATGGAGAGAGACAGCCAGCTGGTGCCACGAGGAGCAGCGTTTGCCTCCGAAGAGCCGAGGGGGGAAAAAAAGGAGAGGAGCCTTCTTCAGGGATAACATTACTTGTGATGTCTTTGCGTACCAGATTTTGATTTCACCAGAGTTATGATACGTCTCTGCCATGGATGCTCGGAGACCGACAAAATGGAGCGTTGCCGGAGGGGAGGCTGATGAGCCTGGACCCTGCAGTGTTAGTGTCTCACACGGGAGATATTTATCTTAAAAAAAAATAAATAAACATTAAAAAAAACCAAACGGCTGACATTGAGCCCCTCAGTCTGCTCGGGGGAAAGGACTGAGAGGGAGAGCAGCCTCCTACACTGGGCAAACAAAGTGTAACACGCGGCGTGGCTACCACTGGGAAAGGGGCAGGGCACTGCCGAGCCTGGGGACGATGCGTGAGCCCTTCTCGCCCCGACCAAGCACATCCCGGGCTGTCAGAGCTCGTGTTGTCCACGGCAGAGTGAAACCCTGGAGAGACTCCGCCAGCTGAACATCAGGCACTTTTTCCTACAGCTAAGGAAGCATCACCTGCTCCAGAGATGGGGGGTAAGTCCCCACCAGGGCACTTTTAGAGAACAAAGCCCTTGGAGCAGGGCCAGTGGCAGCCCAAGGTTTTTAACTCAGTCCCACCGTGTCAGGAGCCTTTGCAGTGCTGCCAGTTTTATCTGAAAATATGCTTTGGTATCACGAGCCGCCTCCCTTGTCTATACGAAAAGGAAACTTATTTTCTGCAGCACCTGTAAGTACTGCCCTGCCCAGAGAGACCTGTGTTGCACAAGATTTAAAACACTGCCCCTGCCATTCCAGCTGTCCACGTAAGGAAGGCAAACGGGAGGGATCTATTCCCTTGGAAATGAGGGATAGAGCGAGCACCTTTTATGTTACACTGAACAGTAAAACCTGTAACGTAATAGGTTTGGCTCTCTGCACTTCTCACACGCAGGAAATCACATCAAAGCTGCTCCGGTAATTTAAAACAGTCTGTTAACTTTGCTGAGTCATAAAATGAAAACAGGAGCCTGAATTCCCCACTGTTTCCAGCAACACGTTCTGCAGGAGGGGCAGTTTGGGAAAGAGTTTAAGTTTGAACTGAATGGAGTTGAAAAGCCACCACAAGGAAAGTGCCTGGCTCCCCTTGTCTTCCCTCTCCCCCCCACATCCACCCAGCAGCAATCCAAGTTGTCTGCAAATAAAACACTGAGATTTCATCGGTAACATGAGTTTTTTTTCTTTTCTCAGACCATCACAGAAATGTAGCATTTGGAGAAGGGAAAATAAAATATTCACTAAGTGCCTGCAACAAACTAAAAACTACCTTTCCCTCTCTTCTCCTTCTGAAAAAAACAAGAGTAAATAAACATGCTTAGTCCCTAGGAAAAGGAAGACCCAGATATAGCAAAATTGTCGGGATATGTTAACTGGAAATCAAAAGCTGAAGCAACTTGCTCTGACACCCGTAGAACAGGATTTTTGCTGAGTCGTGTAAAAGAAATCTATACTGTCACCACCAGGCAAAAAATTAGACAGTTCCCTCCCCTGCTCCACTGGTAATGCTTGGGGCTGCTCTTGCATAATCTTCACCTGCTGTAAAAATCAATGCACCTCTCATCACCTTAGTATTAAATTACAACTGCTTTCTGCATTGCTCACTCTCAGGGACCAAGGCTACAGATAAATCACATTGTTTATCCATCAAAATAATCTGAAACCCTTTCCAGCCACTCTCGGTTTCTGGGAAGAAAGGAAAAGGAAAAAAAATTAGGCAAAAGGAAATAAAGGAAGGCAGACAGATCTTCCCCTTTTCAGCCTTCAACAAATAATGGTAGAATCCTACAATGTTTTGGGTTGGAAGGGACCATAAAGATCACCCAGGCAGGGACACCTTTTGCTACACCTTCAAACAAATGAGTCATAAACATCCCTACGGGACACTTTTATCACCTCATGTATTGGTGATATGCAGTACTATTTATGTAAATAAATATTTATGCAAATAAGTTTTTAATTACTATTCCTACATAGTAATAGTCGGTTCCAAACTAGCTGAGCAGATTACTCTGCAGTGGCAGGTGCCTCTGAAGAGGGAACTGCCCAAGGATACAATGCAGGAAGGTCTCTTTTCCCATCCTATTGCACCACTCTACCCTCAGCAACACCAAAGCTTGTTTTGTTGGCCAGAAGGCAGGTTTGTGTAAGACAGGTGCCATTTACTACTGGGAGCAGTGGTGAGGACTGTCCTCCTCAAAGGCAACCCTCTCTGCCACACTGGTGTAGCCTCAGAGGCCTCTGGGGCTTAACCTAAACTTCCTTTCGCTGAGTGCCCTGGCCACTTGAAATCCAAGCCTTGCTGTGGTGGGAGTTTGTATTCTCACTGTGAAGAGCTCTTTCTCTGGGTGGGAGAAGCAGAGACTAATCAAAGTTCCCAGCTCTGCAGGACTAAGCCACACCAGGTAGGAAGGGTTGGGAGACAGAACAGGAACAAGAAGAGGAAGAAAGGTCTGAACAGCATCTTTCAGTTGGGTATTACCTAATAAAATAGGAAGCCTCATGTGTTAATGTTTTATCTTGCAGTAAGCATTCCCTCTCATTTTGCTCACCTGGGGAGAATTCAGACTTGGGCCCAATTCACAGACCGTCATAAAAATGTCATTAAATGCCTGTGTAAGAAGCTTAAGGTAAAAGCAAACTCAACCCCCCCAATCTGCTTTAAGTCCTGAAGTCCAAGTTTGTGTTCTGACTAGAACACATTATGCAAATCCTGCAAGGTATAACTTAAAGGAAAAAATGGAAATTCTCAGAATATAGCTTTTCCACATTTATCAAGGCAACTAGACAGGGGAAGAAAGCCACAAGAAGATACATCAGAGTGAACGCAACCAAGTCACAGCACACTGTGCACAAAAAGTGCACAAAAGCTGCCAAGCCTGGAAAGGGAAACACAAAGGGAACCCTGCAAAGCTCACTCGCTACAGAACTCCAGCATCAAACAATTGCTAGATACCAACTATGACCAAAAACTCTCCCACTCCATTAGCAGGGGTTTGAAAGGAGATACTGTGCTTTACTAGGGATTGAGACGATCAGACAAGTCTTGGAAGATGATCCAGTAACTACAAAAGATTTTTAATTTAGAGACAGGTAATTCTGTTGGTGTTAGATACTTGCATTGTGCTGGTACATAAAAAAAGTGTCTTTGAACTAGTGCCCAGTTCAGAAGGTGCATAGCAAGCAACCTAAATGACACTTAAGTCATTTAAAAGACATTTAAGTCATTGATTCCTAAAGGACTTCACAGTCTGAAAGACAAGACCTACCATGCAAAGCAGATGAATACTAGAGGAGGCTGGAAAAAAGGGCACAAATATCATAGGAGAGAAAAATTTTGGGGTTTCAAGTACAAACTCTCACAATTTCTTTTTGCTGAATGTTCAGAGGAAACTGTACATGGCACTTAGTGAGTACAACATCAGCTGTTCTCAGACTGATGCATTCCCTTTGAAGGGAGGAATGAAGCCTCCAGCTCTGCAAACCCAGTCAAAAATCAAACAGATGCATGTCCCTAAACTGCTCAACAAATCCTCTGTGTCACGTGAGTGGCTGTACAAAATTTGGGATAGCTGCTCCTTTTTGCCCTCCTCATGC